ATGTTGTTATTGATGTTAAGACACTCCCTGGGATCTCAGCAGTCTGCTCCAGCCCCAGTGTTCAAGTGCCTCCTGAACGCAGTGTTTACTGTTTGATGTTGATCTTGATGTTGACGTTAGGGGCCATGGTGTCAGCACCACAGAGGGAACCCTGCCCAGTGTTTTCCCACCTCACAGTCTCCGCTGTGCTGAGGCCCATCCTTGAAGCCAGCTCACTAACGGTTGAACAACAAAGGCAGGGAAATCCACAGACGAATGCAAATATTTAAGTATTTGGAGAGTTCTGGTGGCCTAGTGGTAAGGAGATGCGGTGCAATCCCAATGGCATGTGGTTCAAATCCCCCAGCTGCTCCATGGAAGGAGGTGGGGCCATCGCCTCCCGTGTGCTTTACAACCTCTGAAAACCTGCTGGAGGGTCAGCTGTGTGTGGGTTCCCACTCAGGGCACACAACAGTAACGCAAGTACTGACCAGAGCGCAGGCTGAGGACTATGGGAGACCAGCCTCTCCTTCCCCGCTTCCTGCAGCCCTGCCTCTGTTTCTCTGCCTTCAACGGTGGAGGTAGCATCGGCTGCACTGGAGTGGCCTTGCTAGGAAGTTCTGCACCCCACTCAGCGCCTGCCTGGGAGGGTGAAGGCCCCAGGATGTGGGGTTCTGAGAGGCCTGGAGAGGAGAGATAGGGGTCTGGGCTTTCTCTGGAGTCCTGCCCCTTGTAACTAGCCCTGGGTCATTTTCTAAGGGCTGACCTGGCCAAATGCCCCAGGGGGTGAAACACCTGAGCGGGTTCTGGGTTCCAGGAGGGGCATCTGGCTGCAGCAGGAACCACATTCCTGAGTCCATCAAGGGAGCACTGAGAAAGGGGGCGTCCTGCAGAATTAGGTCTCCCAGAGATGGGCGGGGCCCAGGGAGGCGGGGCCAGGGAGCACTGCTCTGTCCATTTGCTGTACAGAGGTAACTTTTGGTTGCTGTGAAGCTGAACATTGTGACACTGATGTGTGAAATGCAATATTGGTCAGCCATGGTGGACAGTGTTTGGTGGAGCTCCCCAGTGAAACAAGCTTGGAAGCAGGAGTGGCATCCACTTCTGAAACAGCTTGTCCCCAGAAATTCTATGAACGTGGAGAAACGATGAACATATACCAGTGTCCAGGTCTTTCGTTCACAGGGCCATTATTGGTCGTCTATGACCTGATGGAACTTAACAGCGTATGCTTCTGTAAGGAGGTTGTTGTTACACCATGAGTCCAGCTAGGTGGGGTTTATAGGCTGTAAATAACACAGGAGATTGTGACTGTTTCTCCTGTGCTGCAGCCAGTGGACTGTCAGTGCAGCTCCCGACCACGAAGCCACCAGGAAGGACTGCTTTGGAAAGCCTCTGGCAGTCCTCAGTCCTAAGGGGTGAGGGGGGGTCAGCATCGACTCCCATCGTGTAGCCCACTGTGCACCCCCCGCAGTCCCTGCAGGGGCTTGGGGACGGCTGACTTTCTCAGGGTCTAGCTCACTTCCCACCTGGACTGAAGGGTGAGTTGAGTTTACCTGGTATTTCAGAGCTTATACATGACTTTACTGTTCACAGGGTTTTCAGAGGCCTGCTTTTAAAGAAGTGGATGGCCAATCCTACTTCCTAGTCTGTCTTAATCTGGGAGCTCTACTGAAACCTGTCCACCATGGGTAAACTTTGTGGCATTTGACACACCGGTGGCATAGCTTTCAGTATCACAGCCACCCACAAGTTACCTCAGGACAGCAAACTGACAGACAAGTGCTGCATTAATTAGAACAATTCATTTCCCCACTACAACAAACTGATAAATTTTTGTTGTACCTCGGTATGGATGGTCAAGAGATTGAGACAGTTAACAGTTTTCGTTTACTTGGCTCCACAGTCAACACTCTTGGTACCAGAAGCCAGGAAATCAGGAGATGAATTGCATTGGGAAAGTCAGCTGTCAGGGACCTCTTAAGAGTACTGAAGAGCAATGACGTCAGGCTGGAGACTAAGGTGTGCTTGATCTGGGCAATAGTCTTCGCAATTGAGTGCTATGCATCAGAGAGCTGGGCAGTGACTAGGGATGACAGAAAGAGAATTGATGTCTTTGAGCTGTGGTGCTGGAGAAGAGTGTATGGACTACTAGAAGAACAAACAGGTTTGTCCTAGAGAGGGTGAAGCTGGAATGCTCCTTGGAGTCAAGAATTCTGAAGCTTCGTCTGACATACTTTGGGCATGTTGCAAGGAGAGACTGGTCCTTGGGGAGGGACATCATGTTTGGGAGAGTGGAGGGACAGCGCAGGAGAGGAAGACCCTTGACGAGATGGATTGATTCAGTGATTGGCATAGTGGGAGTAGGTATGTTTGAGACAGTGAGGTTGGCACAGGGTTTAGGGCTCTTGTACATAGGGTCACTATGAATCGCAATTGATTTAATGGCACATAACAATAGCAAATCCAGCGTACAGATATCATGTTACTACATGCAGTTGAAGCATGCACAGATGTGACAAGATGTGCTCCCGGGAGAGCGTTGAAGTGTTTTAGCTGGGACTTACGCCTGGCGTGCTGGGTCATATCCTAGATGTGGGTATCAAGGTCACATGGAAGTCTCTGCTGAATCTCTGATGACGGTGCTTCGCACAAGGCTGTTGATCAAAAAGGCCCCACGTCTGGATCAAAGAGGCCCAAAATAAGAGGCACTAGCCACCAAAGGGCTGCTGATAAAAACAAAGATTATCTTCTGGGTGGCTGCCGCTTTAAAAAGGAGGCCTCAACTAGCAAAAGGCTGTTGATCCAAAGCAGTGTGAATTATTGAGGAGCAATGGTGTCCATTTGAGGACTAAGGTGTGCCTGACTCAGGTGATGGTTTTTTCCAATCACTTGCTATGCATCTGAGAGAGCTGGACAATGAATAAGGATGATGGAAGAACTGATGCCTTTGGGCTGTGGTGTTGGTGTAGAATACTGAATACCCACTCCACGGACAGTCAGGAGAATACGTCCTGAAGAAAGTGCAACCAGGGTGCTCCTAAGAGGCACACACACGATAAAGCTTCATCTCACATACTTCAGGCATGTTGCTAGGAGAGGCTATTTCTTGACAAGGGACATCATGTGTTGAAGGTGGAGGGTCAGTGAAGAAGGCCCTCATCCAGATGGGTAGACAGTACAAAAATGAGCTTGAGTGTGTCAAGAAGCGTGAGATGCCACAGAATAGGACGGTGTTCAGATCTGCTGTTCGTAGGGTCAGATTCGACTCAACGCCACCTAACAGCATCTGAGTCTAAAACAGCAGTGTTTGGACTTAGTTATTCCTCCAAGGCCCTGGGAGGTGCGAATGGTCAGTACACGCAGCTGCTCACAGAAAGCTCAGAGATAAGACTCGGAAGAAAGGTCTGGCTACCATGTCCCAAAAATTCAGTCACTGAAGCTTCTTGAGGAACCTGTGTGGGCAGTGGGTGCCCCTGGTGGCCAGTAGGAGCAGGAGTGGACACAGTGCAAACCAGGTTGGCCTTCTGAGGGCAGTGACCCTTCCCCCACCCCCACCCCATTTCCCTCAAGCATATTCTCCCAGGATAACAGACCCGCCTTTTGATACAAACGTTTTAATGTAGAAGACAAAAATCTCATGTACATACATAAATACAGTTTAGAGGTATAAATAAAGAAAACAATGCGAAGCAGATATAAAAATAAATTACACATAAATACCAGGCTGAGACCAAGTGCTAGGAACAGAAAGCTGTCCCATCTGCCAGCTGAGGACTCCACACTTCTCTGGTTTTGAAGGACACACTGTTGGACTCAGTGGTGCAGGGCAGAGAAATGGGGAGATGAAAGAAAGACAGCACTGAGCTCCTGCAGGTCAAGATGCCTGGATCTTAGAGGAAGAGCCCTGTGGGGCAGGGGAAACCCACACCACAAGCCAATCAGATCCCGGAAACCCTGAGCCCTCGCTGCCCGGGGGCGCTGTTCGCTGTGGGCAGGCTATCGAGGAGAGGGGCACCCGGTGAAGCTCCTTTAGACTTCTTGGGGCAGAGTGCCAAGCAGTTCACCACGGGGACAGCCCACCCAGCCTCAGCTCAAGAGTACCCTGGTTGGGAGGGGACTTCAGCCCCTGCTCCTGGGGGCGGGAGCTGGGCCTACCCCAGCTGGCCTGGCCTGTAGGGACATTCAGGTTGAGCCTGACCCTTAGAGGACACAGCCAACATGCCTCATAGGGCTTCTGAGGCTGTCAAGCTTCATGTGCCCAAACTGCCTCACCCAACTCCCGCAGAGCGATGGGTGGATTTGAACGCTTGGTTATTCTGTTCACAGCCCTGTGCTTAACCCACTATGCACGCCCAGCATCGCCGCAAGGGCTTGGGAAAGGCTGCCTTGGGGAAGGGTCACTTCCAGCTGGACTTAAGGGTGGAGTCAAGTTTACCTGGTATTTCAGAGCTTGTGTGTGAGTTTAAAATAGTAGTGTTCCGGCTGGCATTGCTGAGATGTTGTTGTGTACCATCAAATCAGAATCAACCCGTACCTGGTGCTCCCATGGGTTTTCAAAGGCAGTTAATCACTGGGGAGGAGATTGTCCTTCTTTCTCCCATGGAGCAGAGGGTGGATTCGAACCACTAGTCTTTGGGATTGCAGCACAGCTTCTTACTACGAGGCCACTAGAGCTCCCTAGAGCTCATCCCTCATGCTGGAGATGAGAGGAGAGAAAAACAGCTCAGTAGAACATTGTTCACAGAAGGTAGTGAGTCTCCCATCAGCAGAGGTAATCAAGAACCAGTTTAAAAAAAAAAAAAAAGAACCAGTTCAGCACAAAGACTCGTCCAGGAATGTTCAGGATGTGAGGCAGGTGCTGGGTAGTTTCTGGGTGGCTGGAGCTTGAGGTTCCATGGCCACCAGAAGCTGGCGTGGCCAACGTCCCTGTCTGGATATGTACAGCCTGCATGCTCTGTCTCACCCTAACTAGAGCAAGGCCTGGCCCTATGCTGCACACGGGTGGCCAGCGGCCCCCATCACTCCTGGAAGCTGGGGCTCTTCACCAGCCCCAGCTGGGATGCGATTCCAAAAGGGTCCATGTTGTCGGTTTCCAGGGGCGACGAGAAGATGGACTCCAAGTCATCGTCCAGGCGTGTCTCCTCAGCGGGCTTCATGGGCAGGAAATGGGACAAGGGCAGGAAGCCCCTGCCCTTGTGGAGTTGCCGCTGCCGGGCAGTGCTCAGGGACACGGGCAGGCTGTGCTTCTTGGACAGGTACACGTTGTAGCCATCAGGGCGGATTGCCTCCTCGAAGGCACAGTCCTCGGCCGAGTACTGGAGCTGCAGGGAGAGGGGTGGGCGTGAGGGGGGCAGCCCTGCTCCGGCACACGTGGTCACTGTGGGCTGGAATTGTCAGGACAGCATGCAAGCTAGACACACATACACAACGTACACACACTTCAGATACACCTTTGCTATGTCTGCTGTCTGTACTGTACACTTGACAAGTGGTAAGCACAATCGGTAGAAACTTGGCCGGTGTAGTCACACACTCCTCTGGAGGTTCAAATCCACCAGCAAAAAGATAGACAGTCTCCTCCCATTATGATTTACAGCCTCGGAGACCAATAGAGGGAGGGTCTCTGCGTTGCCACCGCCCCAAGGCAGTGAGTCACAGTCATGGAGTACTGGGGACCCACAGGATAGAGTAGAACAGCCCAGGGGGTGCCCCAGGGGGTGCAGTGCTGTGAAGCTCCGTGGGCTCCTCTCTCCCTCAAGGAGTGCTTGCTGGATTTGAACCGCTGGCCTTTTGGTTAGTAGTCAAATGCTTTCACCACCACACCATCAGGGTTCCTCCTAGTCTTTTACTAAAAACCCCCAAACTGATTCTCGTGAAGCTGGAGGCAGCCCCTGGCTGACCCTCCCGCAGGTGTCCAAGGCTGAGAGTCGCACGGGAGGATCTGCTCCTTTTTCTTCTGCAGGGTGACGGGTGGATTCGAACCACTGGAGATAGGCAGCCTTGGCGTTAAGTGGCACAACTCCCTATAGACTAAGCTACCAGCTCTCTAGTCCTTTAACAGTTTACACTAATTGGACTCATGTGTAGAAGAAGGGAGCTCTGATGGCCTAGTGGTAAGAAGCTGAGCTGCAATCCCCAAGGCACATGGTTTGAATCCACTAGCTGTTCCGAGGGAGGACGGGGAATCTCGTCTCCTGTAACTTCTGAGAACCCACTGAAGGGTCGGTGATGATGGCACATTAACGGCACGTTTAGAATGAAGCCTCACCCTGGCAATAACACCCACAGGCGTGTTTACAGCACCTTCGACATTAGTAACTAAGAACCAGTAGATGGCCTTGAACCAGCGCACCGTGGAGGCACCAGGGGAGCAGGCAGTCATGGTGAGGCAGTCCTCAGATCTGGGCACAGTAGACCCGGGAGATGTGTGTGATGTAGCTGTGAGCTCCTGGTCCTTTCCGGAGGGACAGCCTGCCCTCCCCCCCCCCCGAAGATGCTGCACCTGGTCAGAGGCCAGCAATGTCTGCAGGAAGCAAGATGTCCTGTAGGGTCAGGACATCTGCAGCGCTGAGTCAGTGTAGTTAGAGCTGGGCTGTGAACCCACCAGCCGCTCTGCAGAGCAAAGTCCTGGCAGTCTCTGAGGTAAGGGCTGCAAAGTCGATTCACAGAGACCCTCCAGGCTTTCTCCTGGGGGAGAGTGTCCATCCTTCCTCCATGGATGGCATTTCCTCGCATGGTCTATACGTAAGGGGAGCTCTGGATGTAAGGAGAGCTCTGGTGATGCAGTTTCCAGCAAGTCTCAGTGTTAATCCAGAAGTTTTCAATCTCCAGCAGTTCAAATCCACCAGGGGGTCTGAGAGGGAGAAAGATGGGCGGTCTCCTCTGAGATGTACAGCTTCCAAAACCCAGTGAAGGTTCACACTGAGTTGGGACTAACCCAGAAGCCGCAAGTTTGAGGAGTTTTTAATACGCTATAAACCACGGACATGAAGTCAGTTCATGTACTAGTGATATATGTACCATCAAGTTAGAACCAACTCATAGCTGACCCTCCAGTGGGGTTTCAGAGGCTGTAAATCGTCCTTCTTTCTCCAGAGGAGCAGCTCATGGATTCGAACCGGGTACCTTTGGGTTGGCAGCACAACTCCTTCCCCCCAGAGGACAGAGCTGACTGCTGCAAGAGCTCCTCCAGATGGTTAACTCACAGGTTAACACTAATCAACCAGCATGACAAGGACAGGTCCCCCTTGCAGAAAGTGACGTTGCAGTAACTCCGCGAGGACAGACAAACAGACAGAGGTTTGAGAAGGAGCTCTGGCTGTGCAGTGGCTTAGTGCTGGGTAGCCCACTCTCCCCCTTTCTGTGAGGTTCACGGCCTCAGGGAGCTTGCAGGGGTCCTAACCTTTGGGGAAGGAGGATCAAACGGATGGTTAGGTACAAAAGGCCAAGCCCGAGAGAAGTGTCCTGCTGGCCTGGGAAGTGCCCTTGCTATTTCAAGCAGTCTTGAGGCCACGCGCAAGCCTGGGCAGTAAACAGCACCCCAGAGGCACCCCGTTTCGCTTCTGCTCAGGTTTCCGAGGTCACTGAACTGCGGGTGGAGGAGGTGTGCCGCCGATAAGGCCCTGGCAAGCCGGTGATGCAACTGGTCTGGCCCCAGGGCCAAGCCAGGGGCAAGCAGGGGCGGCTTGTCCCCACGCGCGGTGCCAGTCACCAGGTCAATGGGCACCCGCACTAGGATTTGCAAGGGGTCCCCTCACCTCCTCCCCAGTCTTTGGAGAGGCCGCGCTGCTGGGCCAGCGACGCTCTTTCTCCACACTGAAAATGAAATCATTTCCAGTTTCTAAAAGAATGTGTGCTTTCTGTTCAGAGAGAAACAGAGAAGGGGAAATCCCCCAAACCCTCGATTCCTGCCAAGCCACGCCCATGGGGCCAACACGGCAGGATCGGATAACAGGTGGAGACCACCCCTCCCCAGCCCAAGGGCACCCCCCGACTGGAGGCTGGGCTAGCCCCCAGGCCCCTCCCATCCCAGAAGCCAACGTCCACTTAACAAAAGTGGCCAAGCAGGCTGCAGTGTCCTGGGGCCCCCGCAGCGCGGTAACCACCTCGTGAGGCCCCCCGCCGCTGCGCGTCCGCGACAGGGTTGCTGCCTGCCAACGCAGCCTCCCAGCCCCCTCTGTGCGCGCCCCCCAGCCAGGGCGTGGGGGCCCCAGGACCAGCCCCACTCGGGAGGGGTGAGCGCTGGCTCCTTTGAACTCCGGGCCTTTGTTCCCGCCTGCCCTGAGGCCCAGCTTTTGCATACTTTCAGAAGCTTCGGGACTACCAGCGCCCCTCCACCTCTCTGCTATTGTCAGCTGCCCAGGAGTCACAGGAACTCCCAGAGGCCGGACCGTACAGAGTGGGGCCGCTGGTCTTTTCAGGAACAGCTCAACTAGGCGGTCTCGCCTGTGCGTGGATTCGAACCGCCAACCTTTCTGGCAGAGCTTAATCTCTGCGCCATTGGGATGCACCACCAATCTTTCCAGGCACCTCCTAAAATTCCTCCTCCATAAAAAAAGTGTCCTGCACGGCGAGTCCGGTAGAAAGAGCGCATCCGAATATAACCAACACCTCAACGTGTAAATCCAGGCAACCCCCAAAGCGTCTCAATTTTTTTCTGGCTCTTTTGAAACAGAGAAGGTCCCAGGTGTGAGTGTGCATCCCCAGTGTCTCACATCCCCCCTCCCGTCTCTCCAGCCTCAGCACTTGGTGGGGGAGGAGGGAGGACCACCCACTTGCAGGCCGAGGCGGAGCCGACTAAGGAGTGTTTTCCTGTTTAACAGCAAAGTAAACGGGTAAAGGTTTCCTCCCGGCGCGGGCCTTGCGTTGCGCTCCGCGGGGATGGCGAAGGCGACTCTCCGCGCTCTCCCGCCGCCACCGGCTCCACGAACCGCCGGTCTTCTCCCACTTCCGTGGGGGTGGGTTGGCAAGTCGGGCTTAGAGTAAAGTTTTTGCTATTTTCTCCTCCGAGCTCCCGGTGGGCCCAGAAGGAGGGAGCGAGGCAGCTCGGATTTGGTTGCAGAAACCCCCTCCCCGCCCTCGCCCGAGACCGCGGGACACCTACCAGTCCCTGCAGCTGGCCGTCCACGTTCATGCAGAGGTACCGGCCGCTCTGTACGCCCTTGATGGCCACGGTCCGTAATGCTACTGCCTTGATCTCAAGCAAACCTAGGAGTAAAGAAAGCAAAATGCTGCAGCCAAGGGCCCCGGGCCCACAAGGCATGGGGACAGTCGGTGCCTGGGTCCCGGTGCTTCTCTGGCTCCTTATCGGAGTCCCGGATAGAAAGGGGATGGAGACCTGGGGTTCCCGGGAGTGAGGACCCGCGGGCCCGGAGGGAAGGTGGGGAAGGGGCTGGAGGGGTGTAGGGGCGGTGGGGACCCCAGGGCCGGTGGGGACTCACTATTCGCGCTCTGGCCCCGCGAGCAGTCCACGATGCCGTCGGAGCGGATACGCAGGAAGCAGCTGAAGAGACCATGAGGGCTGGTGGTGTACAGGTGCCGCAGACGGATGGGCTCGCCCCAGCCGTAGTGCACGTGCGGCCCGGCGTCCGAAAAGGCCAGCGGGCGCGGGGCTGCAGCCAACCAGAGGCTGGCCAGGACCAGAGCGCGCAGCGTGGCGCACCCGCTCGGAGCGCGCGACATGGCACCCTCCTCGGCTCTGGGAGGTTAGGGCGGCTGAAGACTGCTGGAACCGGGATGGGTGCGCAGGAGGGGGCGGCGAGCCTCGAGGTAACACTGGAGGCTGGACCGCTGCGCTCCTCCGACGGTGCGGCGGCTCCGGGGCTGCCTTTATATAGAGCGCCTTAACAGCTGGTGGACTGATGCCAGCGACACTGCGCACCTTAACCGACCGGATTGCATCAACTCCCAGCCCCCGACACACCCACTTGCAGCCCGCCCCTCACGATGACCCCGCCCGGGCTGCCTGGATCCCCGATGGGAAGAGGCCTCGCTTGGCAGGACGGTCGGACGAGCTCCGCCTCATCGCTTGGAGGCTGGGCTTTCCCGGATGGGGGCTCTGGTTTTATAAAGCGAGAACGTCGACCACGACGCCCCCTCCCCTAGACAGCGGACGGCAGGGATGCTCGCTCAGCAGGGCGCGCGCGGCAGACCTGGAGCGGATGGAAATCGCTGAGTTTGGCTTTCCCCTCCTCAGTCCCAAAAGGCCTCGCTCCAGCTTTAGGGCCCCCACTCCCTTAAAAGATCACTCCCAGCCCGTGTCCCCAAGTTCCAAGACATATCTCCAAACTTAAAACCCATCTGCTAGAATGTCCCCCTGCAGTACCGATCCTTTCCGCTCCGTCTCCCCGCCATCTTCCCTCCTAAGCCCCCCTCTTCGCGGAAACTAACTCCCGACCGGGAAAGGGGACCCCATCTCCCGAGGCGGGAACAATGGGCGAGCTGCGGACGGAGTGCCGCTAGGGGGCGCGGGCGCCCCAGGTTCGCCGGGTCCTTGTGCTCCCGAGGATTCCCTCGTGCGCCCTGGTCTGGTTGGATGACCCAGTGGGGTTGTCCTGGTGTAGGCGCCTTCCAAGTACGATGGGGGTGCCCAGCTGCTCCCTTCTACCCCTCACACTGCAGTCCCGGGCGCACGGGGAGGAGGTGGCCGGCCTGGACTAGATTCCCTCCTTTCCTTTCCAGGTTGGCCGTAAGGATCTCTGGTGCCTGCAGGTTACGCTCAACTCAGCTGCAGACCAAAAGGTCCGCGAGTGGAATTCACCAACCGCTCCACAGGAAAGCAAGGTGGTAGTTCGCTTGATGAAGACTCCCAGCCTAGGGAACCTGTGACGCTGTGCTCCGTGCCTTACAGGGTCGCTGAGAGTCAGACGCGCTCCATCCGAGCCTTGGGGTTTTGTTTGTTGAGAGTCGTCTGGATCTGAAGTGCTGGGACAGTGCCCACAGAGAAGGCAGGGAGGTCTTTACTCGATGAGGGTGTAGGGGCGGGAGGGGGGACACAGGAGCAGAGAGCCGCGCTGCCAGGGTTGGCTCCCTCCCAGGAATCAGGGCGCTCCACGCAGTGGTTCACGCGAGCCTGAGACCGCGTGTGCTGGTTCGCCGAGAGGAAACCGAGGCAGCGGGGCGGACAAGGATCCTTCCGTGTCGCCTTCGCTCCTACCCCGGCGGAGCCCCAGCAGTGGCCCCAAGTTAACGGTGCTCTGAGGAAAGGGCCGCGGGGATGAAGACGTGGCCGCCGGCTTGCGTAAAAGTTACATACATCCCTGGAAGCTCAAGGAGACCGCGCTTCTCCGGCATAAAGGGTTGCAACGAGTTGGAACCTACAGCACAGCGGGGGCCGTGGGTGGGGGCGCAGAGGTTGGGGGGAGGCAAGCTCTCGTGGTCCAGCGCAAAGGCGATAGGAGGGCTCCGGGTGGAGAGACTGGGGGAGGGAGGAGCCTGCCTGGTGAATGTCAATGAGCCGAGGCCAAAAGCTTGCGCTCTGGCGCGCTGGGTGGCGTGGCGCTAAACGAGAGCGCACGCGGAGAAGTGTTCCCTGGAAGCCATCACCCCAAAGGCTTTCCAGACCAGGGACCCCACACTAAATGTCTAAATTCACGAAGTCGTGCCTTTTGTTCCATCTAATTACGCCCCCCTTCTACAGGGTGACTTTAAAACGACGAAGCCTATGAAACCTAGTTACCCTCCCCTGGAGATTGTGAGGATCATTGAGTAGGAACCGACCGTGGCTGACCCTCAGCTATGACACTCCGGCCGGTTTTCAGAGACAGGAAGTTGGGGGCGAGGGGGTCTGCAGCTGTGGCTTAGCCCCTAGCCTCTTTAGGCTCCTCTGCAGGTCTGGCCCAGGGATCTTTCTGCGCTGAGGACCGGAAAGACCCCTAAACATGACTGAGACGTGCAGGGTCTCCTGTGTCCCAAGCACACAGGCACCCACGCCCCATCCAAGCTTAAGCAGTTCCCAAGTTACAGACAGGGACACCTAAGCTGGCTGAGTGTTTAGGCCTAAGAAGGGAGCCCAGTGGTGCTGAGAAAGCGAGTGCTGCAATGTCAGCTTCTCCTGGTGTGAACCCGGGTATCTCAGAAGGTAAGGACTCCATCCCAGCCCTAATGCGCTGCTGGGGCCTGACGTGGTCTCTCCAGACTACAGCTGACGCAGACCTCACAAGGCTCTGGTTGTCCAGAGGTCTGAGGTTGACATGCACCACTCACTCCATCGGCTGAAGCTGGCTGCTCTGTTCACATTTACTGCTTCTGAAACCCCATGGACCATTCGGCTCCATCCCGAAGGTCTCTGTGAACTGAACAGGGGTTGGTGACCCTCGAAGTGATGATGGCTGACACAGTAACTAGGGCAATGGGCTCACAGAACAGCCCGGCTTCTTCTAAGAGTTGGAGCAGACCATGTTTGCTGTGGCCAAAGGGCCCAGCTTGAGGCGGCCAAACGGCCCAGCAGGAATTCACCCAAGACTTCTGTGCTTCTGCAGGGGTTTTCAGAGGCTGTGAACTGGGAACAGTGATTGCTTGTCTTTCTACTGAAAAGCTGCTGGTAGATTCAAACCATGTGCCTTTGAGTCGGCAGCTCAGGTCTTTCCCTACTAGGCCACCTGAGCCCCCATTTCTGTTCTGTAGTGAGTGAGCTCTGGTGGCCTAGTGGCAAGAAGCTGCACTGAAATCCCAAAAGCACACAGTTCGAAACCACCAGCTGCTCTCTGGGAAAAGAATAACGGTCTCCTCCGCCCATTGTTGTTGTTGTTGTTATGTGCCGTCGAGTAGTTCGCGACTCATAGCGACCCTATGTACAACAGCCCTAAACCCTGCTCTATCCTGTGCCAATCTCATTGCCTCCGACACTCCCATCCCGATTATCCCAGTCACTGAATCAATCCACTTCATAGAGGGTCTTCCCCTCCTGCGCTGTCCCTCCACCCTCCCAAGCATGATGTCCCTCTCCAAGGACCCGTCCCTCCTGGCAACATGTCCAAAGTATGTCAGACGAAGCCCCAGAATCCTTGCCTCCAAGGAGTTGCTTGGTTTAATCCTCTCCAGGATGAATCTGTTTGTTTTCCTGGCAGTCCATGGTACATTCAGTACTCTTCTTCAGCACCACAGCCCAAAAGCATCCACTCTCCTTCTGTCCTCCTTGGTCATTGTCCAATTCTCTGATGCATAACAAGCGATTGCAAAGACCATGGCCTGTATCAGGTGCACCTTAGTCTCCAGAGAGACATCGTTGCTCTTGAGTACTTTAGAGAGGTCCCTAACAGCAGACTTTCCCATCACGATATGCTTTTTGATTTCCTCACTGCTGGTGCCAAGAGTGCTGACTGTGGAGCCGAGCAAACTGAAGCTGTGAACAATCTCAATCTCTTCGCCATCCATCCTGACGCTGCCAATTGGTCCAGTGGTGAGAATCTTTGTCTTCTTGACGTTGAGCCTCAGTTCATACTGAAGGCTGTAGTCCTTGACCCTCCGCAGCAAGTGCATGAGGTCCTTCTCAGTTTCAGCAAGCAGGGCTGTGTCATCTGCATAACGTAGATTGTTAATAGATCTTCCACCAATCCTGATGCCACAATTCTCCTCATAGAGCCCAATGTCCCGGATAATCTGCTCTGCATACATGTTGAAAAGGTATGGAGACAGGATGCATCCCTGGCATACACTCTTCCCAATTTTGAACCATGCAGTGTTAACCTGCTCTGTTCTGAAGACTGCCTCTTGGTCCAAGTATAGGTTTCGCATTAGCACAATTAAATGTTCTGGGATTCCCATTCTTCTCAGTCAGCCACAGTTTGTTATGATCCACACAGTCAAATGCCTTTGCATAATCAATGAAACACAGATAGACATTCTTCTGGTATTCCTTGCTTTCAGCCAAGATCCATCTAACATCAGCAACAATATCCCTAGAACCACGACCCCTTCTAAACCCAGCCTGGACTTCCGGCAATTCTCTGCTGATGTGCTGTTCCAGTTGGTTTTGGATAGTCTTCAGTAGAATCTTGCTTGCATGTGAAATCAATGATATTGTTCTGTAGTTTCCACACTCAGTTGGGTCACCCTTCTTTGGAATGGGAACAACTGACTCTTCCAGTCAGTTGGCCAAGTGGTTGTTCTCCAGATTTCTTGGCACAACTTGGTGAGCACATCTAGGGCAACATCTGTTATCTGAAATACCTCAATTGGTATACCATCTATTCCTGGGGCCTTATTTTTTGCTATTTCCTTCAAAGCAGCTTGAACTTCTTCCTTCATCACCATAGGCTCTTGCTCATATGTTATTTCATTAAATTCTTCTGTATCTGCCAATTCCTTTCTATACAATGACTCAGTATATTCCTTCCATCTTCTTTTAATACTTCCTGGATCATTTAATATTCTGCCCAAAGCATCCTTGATTACAGCAACTCTAGGTTTGAATTTGTTCTTCAGTTCCTTGAGCTTAAGAAATGCTGAGCGAGTTCGGCCCTTTTGATTTTCCGACTCTAGCTCCTCGCACATTTCATTGTAATATTTTGCTTTGTTATTCCGTGCTGCCTTTTGGAATCTTCTGTTCAGCTTTTTAGTATCTTGAATTCTTCCTTGCGCTTTGGCTTCTCTACGCTCCAGTGCAATCTTCAGGGTCTCTTCTGACATCCATTTGGTCTTTTCTTCCTTTTCTGTCTTTGCAATGACCATTTTCACTCTTC